AATAGAAGGAAAGCATTGAACTGAAGATAATCACAGGTGAAATGGAAGAGAGATAAAAGGTCCTTTACCATCCCAATCTGCATGGTGGGATTCCACTCGTCTTGACTTCTTCCTTTCTGCAGCATAAATTCATTCATTGCTCCCGGAATGGAAATGACTCACAGTAGTGTATGGTTTCTCCATATATATAATTTTAATAGAGACCAAAGTCTTAACATTGAGACCTTAAGACCTCACAGTACACTTTTGCAGCTTGTAAGGAGCACATGGAAGCAGTTGGAAGATTACCGGGGGTTTTCCTGGACCCTGAAATCACACCTTCCCTGACTTGAGAAGGATTTTCTCTGGTGAAGGATCCTTTTAGACCAGCAATAATGATTATTTGAACTAATTGCAACCTTTCCAGGAGGTTTTAAGAGATACGTTAACACATATGATATCCTTAGTCCTGAATGGAGCAATGAGCACAACAGCCCTATGCAGTGAGTCATAATGTCTAGGAGAGGTGCTAGGCCATTGTGGTTGAATCTCTTTGTTCATTGGGAAAGCAATTCTGCACAAGGAAGAGGGCTATAACCTGTAGGATAAGCACTGGACTGCTCACTACAAGGGAGAACCACCCCTGGGAAACCCTATACAGGTTGCTTTGAGTTGGAACCAACTCAACAACCACCATAGACAAGTTTTAAAGATTTATCCCTAAGATTCTGAATCAAATCCTTTTGGTTCTTTCCAATTTCAGGGACTTCACAGAATTGAGAAATAGAGATTTTCAGCTCATCACCCTCACCTCCATCCAGCCATCGTGGGACTTGGCTGTCCCCTCCCATGTGGCACATAGCCTGGAGGGTGATGGCATTCAAGGAGCTCATAGGGGTGTTAGAAATGAATCCCGATGTCGCATAAAAGACACTCGGTGAGACTAAATTACCTTGGCAAAGTAAAATTTACTCTTCCAAGAGGGTGCTTGCGCATAGCTGTACATACACGAACAGGCCAGCGAGCACACCGAGTGGGCAGTCCACTCGGGTGTTTAATCCCTGACATGAGTCTCAAGGCTGTGTCTCACCCTATTGGCTAGGGTTTTGACCGCACAATCTATTCCTTTGCTTGGTTGGCTAGTTCAAATTTTTAAGGCTCACATTCCTACTTTAGGAAAAGAAGAAGAGAGCTATCATAGTCTTTGCTCCAGAAAGTAGTTTAAGGAAAAAGAAAGTGATCATAAATTCTTTTCTCACTTCAGGAAGTAACCAAAGAAAAAGAGATCATAAAGTCTTTACTTCAGGAAATAAAAAAAAATTACCCGAATACAATAAACAGGATTATAATTTTTCCCCCACAGGGGGGACTAGTCATGGATGATAGATTTTGAGGGCAGCATGTTTACTGTAAGTTATTTTTCACTGCTCTTCACTGAAAAGCCAAGAATCATTATTTTCTTGACAAAATCCTAATTATTTATCAACCCTTTATAGTTCATGAAATGAGTTCACGTACACTTAGTCTTTCATGCCTCAGACCTAACTTATGAGATATTTCATTTTGCAAGTGAAATGCTGTATTTGAGAGAGAGAGGGGGGCTTGGTCGCTGGACTTGCACCTTGCACCACACACCACACTGGTGCTCCCGGACACTCTCAACATTATCATTTTCTCTGCTCAGTGAGGACGGCAGAGTGTACTTTGGAGGCATCTCTGTGCTTCCAGTGTCTGTGAAGGGCTCCAAAGTCACATGTAGGGCCCACTACTCCCTGTTTTCAAAACCCACCATCAAACCAGATGACTGGTGGTGACTGGCTTCGATA